ACCACACCCACTAGGCAGGGTAAGCAGTGACTTCTGATTGAGGTCACTTTTAGCAGCCGATAAATGGTTTTCTTAAACATTTGCACAACAGGATACGTGACTTGCCCTGAAATGATATTCCACGTCCTTCAGCATGACTTCTATAGCCTTCTAGAGCCTTTTATGCATATGCGTTCTATGAGCTTTCGCTGATCTTCCCGTGGCTCTTGACACCTCTTCAAGCCATAATTCCCTGCTTATTTAGGCATTCTACGCTGCTCCCCGATTACGATGATCCAAACAGCTTTGAAGCCTATTATCTGATCGACCTGGCTCTCGAAAATTTCCTCAAGCCGTCTGAAATAGAAGATGAAACGCAGTGGCGTCCGAGAGCAGAGCTCGAGCCCGAGGCCTCCCTTGTGCCAAACATTACCTGGCCCACAAACGAAGACTTCACTCCGGCTCTGGGCGCCGAAAGCATTGCACAGTTCATCAAGGTCAGTCGACCGTGCTTCGAATGAAGTCTGTTTCGCGGGGTGAGGGTGGGATGTGATTGGTATGCATCCCGCTGCTTTTTTTATTTATTTACTTATTGGGAGTGCGCCATTTAGCCCAGTATGTTTAACTGTAGCAGAGGAAGGCTTTTTGTAATTTACAGAGCTGGGATCTCTCCTCCGACTGGAAATACAACATCGAGACCCTTCCGATGATCGATGAGGTCTATGCAATCAACTATCGATATAGAGTTCGCTTTAGCATTCCCACTCAGAGGACTCCGGTGCCTCGCCAGACGGTCTCCGTGTACTTCACGCTCTCGAAATCCAAAGTAAAACCAAATGTACGTTTCTGGTTTGGAGGCCTTCCGTTGCCTCTTACGATTCCTGTCGTAACTCATGCCCATACTTCAGTTTGTTTTGAGGATATCTGCGAGAAACCCTGCAGCTGCGCTTATACAAACGAGACAAGCCCTGCTGCTAGTTTTTTCCAGTTTCTAAATATTTATATTTTCCTATTTAGCGCACCGTCACAACTTAAAGAGCATCAGATTGGTTGTAGTGAAGAAAATGCGCTAAGCCGTCTACCTGATCGCCTGGCGTACTGAGAGTTAGGAGCTAACAGCTCCTTCCTATTGTAACCTCTATGACATTCCCACTCCACGGGGTGCAATCCAGGTGTGATGCTACGCATAGGGTCGGCCCGGGCCGCGCCAGCTATCTGCAACCTCTCCTGCCTCGGATCTTTCTCGCTTGGTCATGATACCGGGCCCAGGCGGGGGAGGGGGAGAGAGCGCGGTAGATGCACTGAAAGTCTACTCTCACTTCAATCTAGTTCAGACGCGCCACGGTGGATCTCGTCGAAACCGACTTTTGAACTGCCTATACAGTGAAACCTCGGTTAAAGAGTTTAACCCGTTCTGGCACCGAACTCGTCATATGAAACACTCATCTTGCGAAAGGTAGCCAATCAAATTCCATCAGTGCACTGATTGATTACAGGCGACCGAGGATCCCCGCTCTGGGAGCAAGACTCTGTAGCGTCTAAATAGTGGTTGTGCTTAGATCACTACAATCCTCAAGTCAAATTCCCAGTAGTAAGAAAAATGACAGAAATCACCCTGATGAGAGTTTTATGGTTTACATAACTCCCAGTTGCTGGCTCAGATGTCAGTGGCCACTAGAGAAACCAGGGTTAGTGTTGACTTCGTCCAGCCAGACCTGAGCGAGAATGAGACAATGGTAGCAGTTGCCTAAGTAAGATTTCAGAGGAGGTTCGAATGTTCTCTGATTGGTGCGTTTGACATTACCCGAGGGGTGTCGTGTCTGGTGGCATAGGCTGTGTCGGCCGAGAGTGGGGGAAAGAGACATGTTCCAGTGGCGGTTGGGCAGCCGCGACTAACTGGACGTATGTGTGAGTAAGTGGGTCAATTGCCTGCATATCAGCGCATCTGAAAGCGCTCAACTGTGAACGCAGACACACATACACGCACTGGCAACCCATGAACTGAGCGGAAGCTCGTCAATTGAAATAAATTTTCTGCAAGTGGCTCGCTCGTTATCTGAAATGCTCGTAGAAGGGGCTACTCGCCCCCCGGGTCTCCACTATATTTTCACCTTACTCTGTTTTCTATGAAGCTGGACGAAAAATGAGCTGATGGTGGCTGTTCTAGTCTTTATTTTCTTCATCGGTCTTTTTTTTGTCGCTAAACAACCAATCGTTGGGGGTCAATCTGACTTGTCCGTATTCGACTCCACAGTCATGGTGGATCAACGACTGCCGCTTTCTTGTGCCTTAAAG